CTGTCTCCACTCTAAACTGATCACATGACACACTGGTAAAGTCTGCTAAAAGCTGTAAAACACTTCACTTTGGAAGGGCATAGCTCCTAAACTAAACATTTTTTTTAGCAAACACCAAATACAACTTTGAAAGATCAACATCTCTTCTGCAACTTACAGCTGAAATTGAGTCTCTAGCTGCACATAATGCCGGAGAACTAAGCTCTTAAATTTGGAAGAGTGGAGTCCCTGCTCCCATAGGAACCCATTATTTTTAAAATGCATAAAAATATTAATATAAAATCAACCATTACAGATATCAGACACACAGGTAATAGCACCCATCTCATGAAGAAGATTTGGAGTTGGAACCGAGTTTGTAGGAAAAACGGTACAGGACTAGTTAGAGGCCAAAAACGGCGGAATAAATAATAATAATAATTATAAATAAATAATAAAATAAAAATAAAATTACCACGCGTTTGAATGTAAATAGGGATATGACTTCAGATACAGTCCACTGTTTCCCGTTTTCCCAGTCCAGTGCAGCCCGCCAGAGTCTAATCTGTTCAGCCACAGTTTCGTAATTAGGCGAAAACATTCTCATTCTTCTCATTATAACATTAAATGTCATTGTTTTATGCCATTGATTTGGCAAAGTATCTTTAAAATTAACTAAAATTGATAGCGCCATTCCTTTGGCTTTGTTCCCTTATCAAATCCAAATTTAATTAAATAAGTATATGTATAAATATCATAAATATGAATAAGTTATTTAAGGAAGTTAAAAAAGTAACGAAGTAACTTTTATACTTGAGTAGATTTTTATACCAGTAATTGTACTTGTACTTAACCCCTTGACGGCTGAATTTATTTACAATAACATAATAAAATAAATTTCTGCTTTCATTTGCTTTCAAGCTGAAATTAAGTGGAAAGTGTTAATTTGTCTATAGAATATAGAAAATATATGAATTCATTCAGGTATGATGCAAATTAGCGACAACAGGCATAAACGAGAAACCAGGGCTTGCAAAAGGTTCCTAGGTACGTATCGAATATGCACAAACAGGCATTGGGGGAATACATACGTTATCTCAGCTGCAGTCTGAAAGGAATAGGTGTGATGCAAATGGCCAAGGAGGTGGATACATTATTTTTCATCATCTGTGCGAGTGAACACATGCACATAAGACGACCGCTACACCCCGCCTCACGCCCCCCGGCATCGTCCATCCCGATGTTTGAATGTAGGTCCCAACCCTACTGAATTAGTTTGGACGAGTAGGTAATAGATACCTGCTAATACCTGTTCAGAAAAAATAAAAATAAAAAAAGAACTGGACTCTGATGGTAACTTGTTTTAACAAGCTAGATTAAAGGTAATGCCCTGGCAGTGGCAAATTGTAACGGGTGGTGTGGTGTGGGGACAGAGAGGACCCAAATGCAGTGCTCAGAGCGAAGGAGGTTTATTGAGGGAAAAGGGGTTGAGGGACTGGAGCGGAGGGAGAGGTGGATGCCGGGGAAACACTGGCACAGGGACACCGACGAGACTGGGACCAGGGAGCCGGGGAACACTGGGGCCGAGGAAGCGAGGAGGGGAGGGGGGAACTGGGAGGACGCCGTGGGGGAAGTCCGGGGAGGAGAGGACCAGAGGATGAGCCCAGCCGACTGAATGGAGGACGGGGGTGAGTGAACCTAGAAGGGAAACAGACAAGGTTAGTGACAGCAAAGACGAAGCACGGGGAAACTGGAAGAAAACACAATACATGCGAGCTTGAATGTAGAGGTGGCACCGGGTATGGCGCAACGACGATCAAGCAAGAATGGTGTGGAGAACCGGGTTTGAAGTACAGGCAGAGATGAGGTTGACTACTGGCAGGTGTGGCAGGCTGACGAGGTGGCTGATGAGGTGCAGGTGCGGGTTGTTGGCTGGGCTCAGGGGCAGAGGCAGAGGCAGAGGCAGAGAGAGAGAGAGAGAGAGAACACACAGGGGAGGAGACACAGGGAGGCAGGCAGGGAACCGAAAACCAAGGAAAAAGCAGAAATAACCAGGACACTCACCGTCAGCCGGGCTGCCACCACAACAGCAAATAGCTTTGGTTTAATATTTGATTTGATTACATTAATGTTTAGGTTATAGGTATAGGTTTAGGTAATATTTTATTGCTGCTGTGTGCGCAATACACTACTTTAGTATTCATTATTCAATTTTGCGCGTAACAATGCGATTAATCGCGATTAAAAATTTTAATTGTTGCCAAGCACTACTAATATAGTATTACTTTTTTGCTTCATTGTGTTTAAGATTTTATTTTTCAATCAGAGATTATGACTCACCCTGTGTTTGTGTGTGTCCCAGCTGTATCCTGTCTTGCGTCCATCCATTTGGATCTGTTGGACAATCTCTGTGTACCAATGTCCACTTTTGTCCATTGTACTGTTTCTCGTACTGTGATAGCTTAGTATAGAGTTCAGTCTTTCTGTTGATCTTCTGGTTGCGTGCCCTCTCGTCTGTTAAGATGCTTTGAAATTCAGCATATTTACGCCAACGGCAAATACTGCCCTTGTCCAGCTCAGAACATGTCCTTTTTCAATAAACTTTATTTCAGACCACTGTGACTATAAGCAAAGGTGGAAAGAGTGCAAATATATTCTACTTAAGAAAAATTACAATTACTTTGATGAACCTTTACTTAAGTACAAGTAAAGTTACTGGTATAAAAATCTACTCAAGTAAAAAGTAGTTCATTTAAAATTTACTCATAGTAAACGTTACTTTTTTAACCTATAATAATTGCTATATTACTGTTTAATATTTTCAACTTTCGCAAAATGAACGTTTTTATTAGCTTATATCAGTGTGAACAGAACAACAAAGACATGGTAAAATCAATAATGATAAATCTACATAGGCTCCTACACAGGCCTACTTAACTACAAAATGCTCTCAGACCGCAGCCAAGGTTGCAATTCAATGAGGAGTGATGGTTAAAATCTGTAATTGTAACTGTAACTCTGATTGGCATGATATATTAATCACCTGGTTTCGACGCTATTTTGGAGCTGCGCCGTTACTGTGCTAGAGACAGGCGCGCAGGAAGACATTTTCGCTTAGGGGTGCTGCAGAGTATGCTGCATACAAAAGTAATGCAATCACAGTACGTATTGCTTTTTTGCTATAATGCAGTTGTATAATGCATTACTAAAAATAAATTGGTAATATTATAATATTATAATATTATTACTAATTAATATTATTCATAATTACAGAGGCTACTGTCAGTTCATCCTGACCGATCCTGTCGAACTGTTGGGAGATTCAAATAATCAATGATGTTATGCGGCTGTACTTCGTGCATTAATGCGCACAGCGTCTTTCTTAATGGGGAGAAGATTCATCCTAATTCACCCATCCACACCCAATCCGCAGAAATAACTGCACTTCACTAGAATGCACCTATGCAGTACATCTTACCATCAGAATAATGCAGCCATTAAATTAAAAGTAGCTCAAAGTAACGCAAATAGGCTAGCGTAAAGCATTACAATTCAGAGACAGAAATATTGTAATATAACTAATTACTCTCAAATGACGTTAACTAGTAATCTATAATGTAGTACATTTTGGAAGTAACTTGCCCAACACTGCGCGCATGACACGACTGTGTGTGGGCACGCACTTAAGCCTCGAATATACTTGGGAGTGGACACGGACATGGACACGGACATAGACAGCCCATTGACGCGGACCACTTCTGTTTATAGTACCTTCTGGAGTCAGCTTGGCGGACACGTTCCACACATGTGCAGGAGATCGGTTGGGCCCCTGGTAGTGCTAGTCACGGTCCGGTCACAAAAAAACAGGAGACACACGGACGTCTGCACAGGCCCTACGCGTACCCTCTCTGATGACAATGTTTTCGTCACACGGACCCTAGCGTACTCGGAAAGTATTATCCTTGCCTTATACACTTTCCTTCAACACAGAGTGGTTATGCTCATATGAGGTCACCAAGGTCCGTACTTCAGTAATTATATGTATGTAGGGCTGTCCCTGACTAAGGATTTACATAGTCGGATCAGAATTGTCAAGTAATGCCTATAGTCGACTGATAGTCGAATCGTGTGTTTTTGTGCACAGCGATTGCGAGCACACATGGTGGCTCTGCTATAATCTTGAGAAGCTACAGAGCGGTAGTTACATACTGTAACTCCAGATTCTATGAGTATAGGCGCAGCAACCACCAAGCACAAAACCAACCAGCCCAGAGCCATAAATGAGCCACCCAGTCACCCGCTGTCGGTGGCATTGGTGTCGGCAAGCGCACAAGCATGGATGGTGCGACATGGGAGGCAGGGGATCAACCCATGTGTAATAGTGGTGGAACTGGATGGGGGGCCCAGCAGCTGTACAGAAGCAGGCGGCGTCAGCACAGCGACCGCATCAGCTGCGCACAGAGCAGGGCCAGCGCAAGCAGTGACCACTCCCCCCCACCGTCCCGTGGGAGAGGGCGCACTGCACAATCACAAGGAAAAATCACTCTGCCAAAACAGTACTGAGTGAGTCAGCACCCCGCCCTGGCAGTCTATGTAAGCCGCTGCAGCCCCGTCTGCGGTGCCATCTTGTTCCACTGTATGATTTTATCTGCCAACACCAACTGACCCAGACTGGAACAGACCCGGTCCAATTTGATCCGAACAGTCTGATCAGTCGCACTTAAATCATTTTCAGAATCGGCTGCAGTCGTAATGTGAGTGCCCGCCTTAAGTTGTCATTTTTGTGATGCAGGTCTTAGTTGAGTCGTAAGTCAAAATCTCAAGTCTTCATTCTTGCATGAGGTGAAGTATGAATCCTGGTTTGTTGTGGTAAACAAATGTCACACTACCTCCGGCATAGGAACAAAATGTTTTGTTTTTTGTAACATTTCTTCCAAACATACTAGCTGGTACAAATTGGTTGCTTTTAAATGTAATTCCCAGAAGCCAGTTCATGTGTCTCATTTTGAAAATTCTGTCAGGGAGGAGTGATTGGAATAAAGATCGGCTGGATATGTGATCTGGACAAGTCAGATGACCAGTGTAACCCTTCATACTCATTCACCCGACTGGATGCCATGTCACAGAAGAATGATGTCTCACCTGGCTACAATTTCAGGTATTTAACTACATGGTTGGACTGATATGTTCCATCCACAAACTAGAAACTTAACCATTGGCCAGATTGCATTGAAATCATTGGATATTCATGGTCCCCAGGGAATGATTTCTAATTACCTTTTCTAATTACACCATTACCTTTCTCTAGTAACAGCTGACCAACACCTTTACTAGAAATATAGGAATTTCTAAAGGCAAATTGACATGGACAGCTTTCATAAGTCTAGTATCTGAGCCACCTATATGTAAATGAAAAGAGTTACAGGTTGTTAAACTGGATTGTCTTTAAGGACTCTACATAAAAATAAGTATTTTAGCATATAACATATTAATCAAGTAATCAATCAGACTGCATTATATTGTTGTTATTAGTTATTTTGACCACTTGCAAAATGTATGGTTAGATTGATTGATGATGTTTTCCTTGTGATTTGTCTGTTTGTGCAGGTTTGCCAAATATTATAAGATGGATAATGGGACGGACTACCGCACTCTGGTCAAAGCCTATGCTATTAGGTTTGATGTTCTGGTCAATGGAAATGTGAGTATATAGCTTAGTGTGTGTCAGATTTTGTGTATCAGGTGCTCATAATGTGTATGTGTACTTATCCATTATGAATAATGACACAGGGATTTGTATATACTGTAGTTGTTTTGACAGCTCATCATGGAAGCTACTTACTCATCTTTGTAGTACTAACATTCTTATATATTTTATTCATATTTAACTTATATAATTTTATAATTTTACAGCACCAGTAATATGTGTTTTATGCACTTTTGCATCTTTTAAAGCATCTTACAGTACAAATTGTCTTTAGCATTACTAGATGTCTAGGCAGAATCATTTATGCAATTGCACGCAATTTTGCTAACATGTGGCCTTACTGTTTGGGACACAGAAAGGTTTATTATCTATAAAATAATTTCAGGTCATATAAAGTAGCCATGATCAGTAAGCATAGATTATCAGGCATCATCAACATTGTTATATGGTGGTTTTACATACACAGTTCAAAGACATGCCCGTTTGGTGAATTGGAAACTTTCTGCTTACAGGGTTACTTTCTTAAAATAAACTATTCTGCACATCTGCCAATACATTAATCAGCTTTGGAGACTGAGGATATAGTGGAAAGGGGAATAAAATCAACAAAAGAAGTAATTTCTTGTACAACTGCATTTGTGCTAATGATAGGAGGAGCAGTGGCGTAAGGCAGTAACAACAGGCCCTAGTGCAGGCTTATAATGGGCCCTTGGGCTAAACTGTTACAAAACACACACGGGGAACCCTTTATTGGCAAATTTATGTGCCTTGATTCCTTATTTTGCCACGGTTTAACAACTGATACACAGCAGTCTAAAGTAAAGTACCATCATGTGATGGATTTCACAGTCGAACTTTGTCACCTAGGCTTTTGTTTTTGCTAAGTACAGAAGTCAAAGAGAAAGTTTTAAGGAACATGGCCAGTGCTGTATCCTGTAACGTCATGTCCACTGTGCTGAAAAGACTTTCTGGCAATTTCAGTACAATAACCTCCCGAATCACGACAATTACATTCCTCATCGACAGAGAGGCAAGATATTATGGTGAATAAGAAAGAAAAGTGGCCTACTGATAACACAGCACCATGTTCTGAAAACAGGCCAGCTACAGCGCACACACAGTTTAATACCCACAAGCACATCCACACAATTAATAGGTAAGCCTACGCAGCGACAACCGATCCCCGAAATGATAACCCGCGCTGTACTGGGGGCCCATGACGGGAGCGGCCCCTCTGAGCTACGGGCTGGTCTTTGTCAGTTACATGGTAAAAATGCATCAACTTTCATCAATCAATAGTAAACACACTTTTCACCTCAAACTGTATTTTCAATAGCGATCAAGTGCTATATATACAGATAAGACTCAATGCATTTTTACCATGTACCATGTAAGACCGGCTTGTAACTCGGCGGGACCGCTCCCATCAAGGGCCCCAGTGCAGCTGCATTGTCTGCATTGTCTATACCCACGCCCCTGCCCAGGATACTGAAACCTGCTGATATAAACTACCAGTATTTCTTCGTAGGCAGGGAAGTTCAACATGATCCCTACGCTCATTAACATGGTGGCAGCCTTCACGTCAGTGGGAGTGGTAAGTTTTAGTGGTATACTTGACACAACCAATCTAGTCTAAGTTCGTTATACCAGTCATGTTTCATTCAGTGCTTTTGTGTTTTTTTGTCAGGACTGATAAACTGAGCTGTATATTACCTTTTTATCTCTGACTTTAAGTGTTATCTCAAGTACAATACCTACTTTATTGTGAACTGTGTTGAGTTTTAAAACATGAATAGTGAAATCATGGAGTTTCTACTCTTGCTTTGTTGAGTGCTTTAAAAATAAAGGTTATTGTTATTATTATTATTATACAGGGCACAGTGCTGTGTGACATCATACTGCTGAACTTCCTGAAAGGAGCAGAGCAATACAAGGCCAAGAAATTTGAAGAGGTAAAAATATCCTGTTCTTAATGTGATGTGCACCTTATTAATCACAGTTTTGGTAATATGTGGTTTGTCCACACTTAATGCTTTTTTTGCCACTTGGGGGCAGTAACGGGTGACAACATATCACTCTTTACACTGCATGCTCAATTATTAGTTGTACTCCTCAAAATTAATTTTACCGTTGAACAAATACAGTGCTCTCAGTCAATCCAAAATATAATTGAATTTCAAACCTGAGTGTGTAAGAAAACATGAGTTTTGTCTTGCTCAGAAGTATATACACTCACCGGCCACTTTATTAGGTACACCATTCCATCACGTCCCAAAGGTGCTCTATTGGTTTGAGATCTGGTGACTGTGGAGGTCATACAGTGACCTCATTGTCATGTTCAAGAAACCTGTTTGAGATGTACACTGTGGTCATAAAGGAATGGACATAGTCAGCAACAATACTCAGGTAGGCTGTCACGTTTTAACAATGCTCAATTGGTACCCATAGTGGGGCCCATAGTGTGCCAAGAAAATATCCCCCACACCAGTAGTGTAAGGCCCCAGTGCAGGCTGTTATGATGGGTCCTTGGGCTCAGTTACAAAGTACATGCTCACACACACACACACACACACACACACACACACACACTGTGTTTGTGTCTAGAAGGGAACCCTATATTGGCAGATTTGTGTTTCCTTATTGTGCACGGTTTAACAACTGAAAATATTATATGCAGTAATACCTAAACTCCCACCTTAAATCAATTTCTTTCCATATTAACATATTAAAGTGAGCAGTTCTCTTTATGGGCTTCTCTCGAACACAGACATGCACAGCCTAAAGTGATGGATTTTAGATTTGGACTGTGTCACTATAGACTATTGTATTTGTAAAGTACAGAATTCATAGACTTTTGTGGATAAAACTACTGACTGACACCCTGGCAAAGGGGCATATGCACATTTGAGGATATATATACAATGTGATCTCATTGGTGATGTAGGAGGCAAGACAAAGTCGTGCATGTAACTTGGCCCGCTCCCATCATGGGCCCTTGCCCATGATGCCCATTTTCTATACCTACGCCCCTACCCCACACCATTACACGTCCCCCAGCAGCCTGAACCGTTGATACAACGCAGGGTGGATCCATGCTTTCATGTTGTTTATGCCAAATCTGACCCTACCATCTGAATGACGCAGCTGAAATGGAGACTCATCAGACCAGGAAACGTTTCTCCAATCTTCTTTTGTCCAATTTGGCTGTTCTTAGCTGACAGGAGTGGCACTCAGGGTGTGGTTTTCTACTGCTGTAGGCATCTGCTTCAAGGTTAGACGTGTTGCTTGTTCAGAGATGGTATTCTGCATACCTTGGTTGTAACAAGTCATTACTGTTGCCTTTCTGTCATCTGGAACCAGTCTGCCCATTCTCCTCTGACCTCTGACATCAACAAGGCATTTTTGTCCCCACAACTTCCGCTCACTGGATATTTTCTGTTTTTCGGACCATTCTCTGTAAACCCTAAAGATGGTTGTGCGTGAAAATCCCAGTAGATCAGCAGTTTCTGAAATATTCAGACCAGCCCATCTGGCACCAACAACCATGCTACGTTCAAAGTCACTTAAATCCCCTTTCTTCCCTATTTTGATGCTCGATTTGAACTTCAGCAAGTTGCCTTGACTTCATCTACATGCCTAAATGCATTGAGTTGCTGCCATGTGATTGGCTGATTAGCTATTTGTTTAATTAGCAACCGAACAGGTACCCAATAAAATGGCCGTTGAGTGTATGTGTGCGCAGAATTATTAGACAACTAAATTACCAAGATAATTTCTATCAAATTACTTGTTTATTCTCAGTTTGTGTAACAACACAAAATGATAAACAATTGTTGGCCTTTCCTTACATTTAGCTGACACATTTATCCATAGCAACAATTGCTACATATGTCAGAGGTTGCACGTCTCTGGAGCAACTAGGGGTTAAGTGTCTTGCTCAGGCACACATTGGTGTGTAGGATTTGAACCCGGGTCTCTCACACCAAAGGCATGTGTCTTATCCATTGCGCCACCCCGTATTTAGTAACCAATATAACCTTTCTTTTCAATAAGTACATTGATCCTTCCATCCATGGAGTCAGTTTCTTGATCTGTTCACTGTCACTTTTTGCTGAAGCAGCAACCAAAGCCTCCCAAATGCTGTTAAAAGATCAAATGCATAAAGATCCTGGCCTTCTTGAAAACTGAGAACTTATTCCTGCACCACTGCTTGGAACAATTATCTTCCAGAAACTGGCAGTAGGTTTGGGAGTTGAGTTTGAGTGCATCTTCACCCTGAAAAGGTCCAGCTATCTAAGCCTTAATGACAGCTGCCCATACCAGTACCCCTCCTCCACCTTGCTGGCGCCTGAGTCAAAGTGGTGCCATGTCCATCAGTGATCCAGCCACAGGCCATCCATCTGATCCATCACTCTCATTTCATCTGTCCATAAAACCTTTAAGAAAAAATGTCTTCAGGTATTTCTTTGCCCAATTTTGACGCTTCAACTTGTGAATCTTATTCAGTGGTGGCTGTGTTTCAGCCTTCCTGGCATTGGCCATGTCTCTGAACACTTACAGAGTAAGTACAGTGTAATTCTGGACACTCCAGGTAGGTTGCAGTTCTGGAAAATAGTCGTACTGAAGGATAATGGGTTCCTGGTAGCTTCACGTTTAATTCGACGGAAGTCTTTTGCAGGTAATTTGTGCCATTTCTTCTCCATGCGCTTTTTTTCGCACCAGTTCTCTATTCACAACAAAATGTTTGATTGTCCGGTGGTCACGCCTCAAAAGTTTAGTGTTGCATCTGTCTGTTACAATTTTTGACTTTTCAGTGTCAGTTAAATCCCTTTTTTGGCCCATTTTACCTTAGGTAATGCAGCTACCTAATAATCATGCACAGCTTGATATAAGGTGTGATTCACTTTCACCACATCCTCCCTCATTACACAAATGTATATCAGCTAAAAATAATTAACTCTAATGAGCATTAAATTTTGTATGGTTTGGAGTTGGAAAATGTGCATAGAAATAATTATTCATTCAGAATACTTGTCTAAAAATTGTACATGCAGTGTAAAGTTGTTTAAAGATTATTAGCAAAGAGATCTTTAATTACGCACTTACCAGACATGAAGCAACATTAGCATTAATTTAAGCTGTGGCCGCTTAATGTAAGTCCAATAGGAATTCTCCATTTAGCTCTGTTTTGGTGTAAACCAAAATTTAAGAAAAATTTACCAGCTATCGTCTAAAGTTGTTTGTCTGCTGTTTGGTGCTGAGCAGGGAGCATACAGTGGGTTTATCAGAGCTTTTTCTCTGAAAACAGCTGCCTGTTGATGACAGTGGAGTTGCAGGCTGGAAAACCAAAACACTGAGCTAAAAGAGGCTAAATGGCTCTGTAGAGCTGAAGGGGGTAGCAAAGTTGGGTGATAATTCTCTGCATGGACAGTATTCATTAATTATGTATGTAAGTGAGGTAAGCTGTTGAGGACCAGCGGCTGAGGATTTTTATGATGTTATCGGGGATTCCCTGACTGGAGGCAGCTCCGATGCGGAACGAATGCCCGGAGTACAGTTAAGGGGATATTCCAGATTTGGTAAAATTTTGCGAAGGTGTAGGTGAAACCAGAAGCGCGTGGCTAATTTTCCTGTCTCTGTGACGAACAGAGGATCTTGGGGGGCAGCGTGGCTGACTAGTCTTGAGTCCACGTAGAGGCATATGGGTTCGTGCGGTCTGAGGTAAGAATTGAGTCTGAAGAGGTAGATGGTCTGCAGTAAACTGTACTGGTTGGTTTTGCTGCATTTGAGGTGATAGATGAGTGTCTGTGGATTGTACGGAGATGTTGGCCATGGTGGCGTGGATACTTGGTTGGTATTGGAGGCTGGAGGCGGTGAACTCTGAGCACCGCAAGAAGCCAAAAAATGCCAGTAGAAACATGGATTCCAGGACTTTGTCCACATATGGAGTCAGATAACCCGATCTGAGGGTCTGAATGCAACGGGCTAAGAAGTCTGAAGTGAGGGGTAGATGTTTTGGCAAGGGATGTGGTTCGACCTTGTGGAGGTCTTTGGTTAGCATGCTAATATGGGAGCGGGACAAAGCCATTATCCACAGCTGTCCCTGTGGATAACTTGACAAAGAAGTTGATTCCACTGATGTAGACCTGTATGGTGGAGGATTTAATCTTGAGATCAGACTGGGCGAAAGTGATGAAGATTGAGACTGAGATTGAGAATGACGTCAAGAGAAGGGGATGCCGTGGGAGGCATGAAAAGCTTTAAAGCAATTAATGGCGTTATTTGAAGATGGCCGCTGAAAACGGCAGGACTGCAGTTGGAAAGGGGTCGGCAGCTTGCGCCATTTGCTTGAATCTCTGGAAAGAGAAACGAGAAAGAGAGTCAGCAATTGTGTTTTTGTGACCTGGTATATGGGAGGCTCGGATGATGAATTGGTGGTGTGCTGAAACCAAGGTGAGCCTCCGCATGAATTGCATTATGTCTGGTCAATGGGACCGTCCTTTGTTAATTATGTCTACTACTGCACTGTTGTCAGAGTAGATTGCGATGGTTTTCTTGGACAATTTAGACCCCAAACAATGGCTGCGATAATGACGGGGTACATTTCGTAGATGGTAGAGGAATGAGAGAGGGCTGAAAATTCAGACGGCCAGTCGGCTGCGAACCAACTACCACTGCAGTAGCCACCAAAGCTGACGGAAGGGGCAGCGTCTGTGAAGAGCTGAATATCTTCTGCCTTGGTGACGTGGTCATTGTGGAAGAAGAATATGCCGTTCCAGGAGGAAAGAAAGTGGTGGCACATTTCAAGCTCCATTTTACATGCGGCATTTAGGCATGATGTGGTCATGGAGAGATGGGACGGAAGCGGCTATGCGACTGGAAGGACCAACCTTATGGGATGATCCGGGTGGCGTAGTTGAAGTGGCCTAGGAGTAAGAGAAGTTGGTGTTTGGTGCAGCGGTGGGCCAGAAGGAAAGTAACAGTGATGTGTTGGGGCATTCTGTTTTCTCTGGGGAGAGTGGGACTGCGAGTTCGTGGAATTCGGAAGTCAAGATGTTGAGGCCATGAGATGGCGGTGAAGTGGGTGGCGTAACGGTGAGAAAGTCATCTAAAAGGTGGATGACAAATGGGAGCTTGTGGTTGTTGGTCAGGATCCAGCAAAGTGCTTTGGAGAGGGAGTCGAATATTTTTGGGCTGCTCTTACACCCGACGGTTAGATGAACGGCGAAATAGTAAGCGCCCCTCCAGAGAATGGCGAAAAGGTTCCAGTAATCAGGGTGGATGGTAAGGACTTTGAAATCACTGGTGATATCTTTCTTGGAAAGCTAGGCTCCTTGCCCTGCAGTGTGGATGAGGGAGATGGCGTGGTCGATGGTTGAATATTGCATAGAAAAGTCAGAGCTCGGGATGAGACTGTTGATGCTCGGGACTGTGGAGCCGTGCGGGGAAGAGAGGTTGATAATTAGTTGTTTTTTTCCAGAATATTTCCTAGTTGCTACGCCAATGGGACTCATTCTGAATGTGGGAAATGGTGGGCTGTAAAATGGGCCCATCATGGAGGTTTCTTTGGTTTCTTTAGCCAGGAGTTTGTCAACTGTGTCGGGGTCGGTGATGGCTGACTGCGAATTTTGGTATGTAGGTGATGAATTTGGTATGGCCAGCAAGCCGTGTGTGAAGCCCTGTATATGGTAATTGACAAAATGATGATCTGTGTCAATGATCGATTTTGTAATCGTTTCATCTGATTTGAGGCCGCATGTTTCGGACACTCGGGTGAAGAGAGGGGCAGAGCTGTCAACTGATCACCATCTGGTGGTGAGTTGGGTCAGGGGGTGGGGGAAGACTCTGGACAGACCTGGTAAGCCCAAACGGGTAGTGCGGGTGAACTGGGAACGTCTGGAGGAGGCCCCTGTCCGTGAGATCTTCAACTCAAACCTCCGGTGGAGCTTTTCTGGCATCCCTGTGGAGGTTGGGGACATTGAACAGGAGTGGGCAATGTTCAAAACCTCTATTGCTGAAGCTGCAGCGGAAAGCTGTGGTCTCAAGGTCTTAGGTGCCTCAAGGGGCGGTAACCCTCGAACACTGTGGTGGACAACAGTGGTCAGGGAAGCCGTCCGACTGAAGAAGGAGGCCTTCTGAGATTTGTTGTCTCGGAGGACTCCGGAGGCGGTTGCAAGGGCCCGAAGGACTGCAGCCTCTGCTGTGGCAGATGGAAAGCAGCGGGTGTGGGAGAAGTTCGGAGAAGACATGGAGAAGGACTTTCGGTCGGCACCAAAGTGTTTCTGGAGAACTGTCCGCCATCTCAGGAGGGGGAAGCGGGGAACCGTCCAAGCTGTGTACAGTAAGGATGGGAACCTGCTGACCTCAACAAGGGAGGTAATTGGGCGGTGGAAGGAACACTTTGAGGAACTCCTAAATCCGACTGACATACCCTCTTTAGTAGAGGCAGAGCTCGAGGCTGATGGGGGATTCTCGTCAATTTCCCTGGTGGAAGTCACTGAGGTAGTCAAACAACTCCACAGTGGCAAAGCCCCAGGGATTGATGAGATCCGCCCAGAAATGCTAAAAGCTTTGGGTGTGGAGGGGCTGTCTTGGATGACACGTCTCTTTAACATTGCGTGGAAGTCGAGTACAGTGCCCAAGGGGAGTGGTAGACTGGGGTGGTGGTTCCCCTGTTCAAAAAGGGGGACCAGAGAGTGTGTGCCAATTACAGGGGTATCACACTTCTCAGCCTCCCCGGTAAAGTCTATTCCAGGGTGCTGGAACGGAGGGTTCGGCCGATTGTCGAACCTCAGATTGAAGAGGAACAATGCGGTTTTCGTCCCGGTCGTGGAACAACTGACCAGCTCTTTACTCTCACAAGGATCCTGGAGTGGGCTTGGGAGAATCGGAGCAGCGGGGGCGGTAATGCACTCGCTTTACCGCACCGTTGTGGCGAAAAGACAGCTGAGCCGTAAGGCAAAGCTCTCGATCTACCGGTCGATTTTCGCTCCTACCCTCACCTATGGTCATGAAGGCTGGGTTGTGACCAAAAGAACGAGATCGCGGGTACAAGCGGCCGAAATGGGTTTCCTCAGGCGGGTGGCTAGTGTCTCCCTTAGAGATGGGGTGAGAAGCCTGACCATCCGTGAGGAGCTCAGAGTAGAGCCGCTGCTCCATTGCGTTGAAAGGAGCCAGTTGAGGTGGTTTGGGCATCTGGTAAGGATGCCTCCTAGACGCCTCCCTAGGGAGGTGTTCCAGTCACGTCCAGCTGGGAGGAGGCCTCGGGGGAGACCCAGGACTAGGTGGAGAGATTATATCTCCACACTGGCCTGGGAACGCCTCGGGATCCCCCAGTCAGAGCTGGTTAATGTGGCTTGGGAAAGAGAAGTTTGGGGTTCCCTGCTGGAGCTGCTCCCCCCGCGACCCGATCCCGGATAAGCGGACGAAGATGGATGGATGGATGGATGATCTGTGTGATTTTTTAAGTCTGTAGCTAGTACATGGATTTGAATGGGGGTGTTTAGATACTCACCTTGCTGTGGTAGGGTTGTGGGGGCAGGTTGTTCTGGCGTGGGCCCCGCCGCAGAAAGAGGATGTGTTCAGGAATCTGTAACTAGCAGCCTAGGTCGTTGAAATTGTTGCACACTATCCCCCCTGCCTGGAAGAGGACTGGTCTGCCTCTCCTATCCACACCTTGTGGGAGAGGGCCACTGGTGGTGGGCTGCGTGCAGGCTGGTTAAGAAGTGATTGAAGGCAGAGAGACGGCGAGGGTGCATGCAGAGGCCAGATGTGATGGTGCGCCACAAAGTTTGCAGTTCAAGGATGGACGTGCTGCAAAGACGTGGCAAAGCTCGGGGTCTAGGGTGCCCCAATATGTCCCTTGACAGGTAATCGTCCAGCTCTGACCTGCGGTTGGGAAAAACTAAATAAATTATGTTACGGTACAGAGAAAAAGAGAAGGCCAATTCTACTATTCTTTAGATCTGGTGGGAATTTGTTGGTAAAGTTCAATGGGGCCGAGAGCGGTTTGCAGTTCCCTGGGAATAAGCGGGTTATGTAGAGATGGAATAATGAGGGAGGCGAGGTCGATGTGGTTACTGGCTAGAATCTGTTGCCTGAGTGAGGGTGACACTGGGGATGGTCTGGCTGGGCCCGTGGGGCACACGGGAGGTGTTGTTGTGGCTAAGGTGAAGTGATTCGATGGCAGCGGATGTGTGGAAAGACAAAGGGTGCGTTAGAGGAGGAAACACATCATATTGGTTGCATTTGGGATATGGGGTGGGGAAGGGGGGTAGGGGAGGGGGAAGGGAGGGAGAAAATAATAGGCAGGAGGAATAGTCTGGCCGATGGCTGTGTCATGGTCACCTGTGTGGGTGCGGTCTGGGTGGCTTTGGTGGCTGGTATTGAGGCAGGAAGGACTAATGTGGCCAGACGAGATGGGATAGGGAGAGTAGGAACAACTGAAGAAGAAAGGATGCTGGGATGGAGGGATGCATGTGCTCGGGTTGATGGTGCTGTTTCAGAAGTAGGGAAGGGAAGAGAAAAAGGTTGGGGTGCAGATG